ATCATGTTCTTTATTGAGGAAATTAACAGACATGCAGTTCATGCTGCCACAATTACAGTTGTCTTGCGGTGGCTGAAACCCCATGAACCTTGGCGTTGTAACTGAAATCATGGTTGCAAACTGTTTTGTAAAATCTTGTGGTAGAGGCAATGGGGCTTGACAGTTTGAATTACTAGCTTGACCTTTATGATTATGATATTGCATGACTTGGGTTTAAGCTCAGGGGTCTGCCAATGTTAGGTGATTTGTAATCCCAGCATGGCTTCCATGGCTCTGGAAAAGGGAGAAACTCCCTTAACACTGAATTTATCAACGAAGAAAAGAACACCTTTCAGGGGATAACTGTGTTTCGCTCTTGGTTGTATTGCAGTCCTTTCTGATAGTATCTGACCCGACTATTGCAAAACACATATTGAAAGACAATTCAAAGGCTTATTCAAAGGTAATCATCTCAACAATCAGCAATGACCACTGCTGTGCAACTTCTTTTCTGTTCTCTCCTTTCTTTCATACATTGTACTTGCGTGTTAATTTTAGTACTTCTTCATGTGCAGGGCATCTTGGCTGAGATCCTAGACTTTGTAATGGGGAAAGGTCTCATCCCAGCTGATGGTGAAATATGGCGAGTTAGACGCCGTGCTATAGTCCCAGCATTGCACCAGAAGGTATTCCAACTTTTCTTGGACTGATTTATTTATAGTAACTTTGAACCATATCCTAGACAGATTTCTTGGTTGATGAGGTCATGATTTAAAGGGTTGCCTTCTTAAGTTGAGGAATCAGTTTCTAATTTATGTAGGTGAGAAACAGAATCGCCACAAGGAAATACTTATTAAACAAGGCATAAGCATAGAGCATCATATTTTGATATATTTATTTTATGGTGTCAATAAGGGATGTTTGTTACTTCATACTACACCATCCTCACTTTGTCTTAAATCTCCGTCACAGCTTCTCTATCTTGCATTTGATTTCATTTCCTGATTGTGATTGTAGTATGTAGCAGCTATGATTGGCCTTTTTGGACAAGCCGCAGATAGGCTCTGCCAGAAGCTAGATGCTGCTGCATCCGATGGAGAAGACGCTGAGATGGAATCACTTTTCTCACGATTGACCTTGGATATCATTGGAAAAGCAGTATTCAATTATGATTTTGATAGTTTATCAAATGACACCGGTATAGTTGGGGTATAGTTTTTTGGAGTATTCCCTTGTGTTTCTGTCTTTTGTATGTACACTGCTCCAGTTCGCAATTATCTTCTACCAAGGAATTTGTTTATAGTATACCAGCTTCACATTGTTGCACTTAATTTAATCATATCAGGCTGTTTATACTGTACTGAGAGAAGCAGAAGATCGAAGTATTTCTCCAATTCCAGTATGGGATATCCCAATATGGAAAGATATATCACCACGTTTAAGGAAGGTTAATGAAGCTCTCAAATTGATCAACGATACGCTTGATGATCTGATAGCAATATGCAAGGTAATGTTGTCGTTAGTGTGACTCAAGCTTATAGTCTCAAAATATGTTCACGTGAGATGCTAGGCAATATTGATGTCAATGCAGAAAGGCACTTGTAAATATTGATATGCTGTCTACATTCTTACATCTTCTATGAATAGTATATGTTCATCATCATGATTATGGAATCTTGTCATGATCTCTGGCACTATCTTCTGTTTTAAACTTTGGTACTAGAGCTTGATTTCTAAACTGTTAGCCAAAGTCAAATTCTGAGGAACCACTTGGTGATTAACATGGCCAGCATTAAAAATGAATCATATGCTTGTTCTTCCGTTTTTCATCATTTAAGTTCCATCGAATTTAACCACTGGACATCTGATTGTTCTTGCTTCCTTTTCTGTTCACAAGTTAGATTTGGAGAACTTCTGTGATTTGATCTTTAGAGCATAAATTTAAAATCTTTGGTGGTTTACCCTGAATATGGATGTGCATTTATACTGGTCTTGCCAAGTATACATTTCTGCACAGTAGTAAATATCAATTTTATAACATGGAAAATTTTCAGCTGTCATTCCCTTGTCTTACATCAAAATACCGTTCTGTGATTCATCATATCTCTTCCTAGTTTTATATATTTTTCCATTATCATTTTCAGAGAATAGTGGATGAAGAAGAGTTACAGTTTCATGAAGAGTACATGAATGAAAAAGATCCAAGTATTCTACACTTCTTGTTAGCATCAGGAGATGATGTATGTTAGCTGCGTCTCTAATTATATTTTTTTATAGAAAAAACTGGATGTGAGTGCAAAGTTTTAAATAATGGACTCTTTGTAGGTATCAAGTAAGCAACTTCGTGACGACTTAATGACCATGCTCATTGCTGGACATGAAACATCAGCTGCTGTTTTAACTTGGACCTTTTATCTACTATCCAAGGTAATAATAATATGAGGCTAAGGTTCAATAAGAAGGGGATTATTGTTCTGGGATCATTATTGCTTGATATGGAATTGCAATATTTTTCTTTTCATTCCAAAAGTTTTGGTTAATCAGGCATGAAAAGTTTGGTAAATAATGCATGTTCAATAGAACATTGCAGTTATTTCTTGTCATGAATCCCAAATTGAGATGTGTAGAGTTAACAATTATTTGTTTGTAATCACATAGGTGAAAAATTAATTTTAATGCAGTAATGACTAATACAAGAATATTTTTCTTCTCCTTTTTTGTTGGCTGCAGGAGCCTAGAGTCATGTCCAAGCTCCAAGAAGAGGTTTCATAAGATTCTTAAGGACCATTTTGTCCGACAAAGTGTTTTCTTTTCTCACTTTTATTTATGGTAATGTCACTGTGTTGTTTGTTTTCAGATTTTTGTAGAAAACAGTAAAAACAATAAAAAATTGTTTTTACTGATTCCTATTCAAATCTTTGAAAACAGAAAACAAAGTGAAAATAGCGGGGCTTCGAAACTAGTATTGAATATCATATTAGGACTCCAGATCAGTTGAATCTAAGAAATAAGTGATTTTTCTTAGGTTGACTCTGTACTTGGAGATAGACATCCAACTATTGAAGACATGAAGAAACTCAAATATACAACCCGAGTGATCAATGAGGTAAAAAGATGGCATACTTGTATTACGTTTCATCACTGTTTTATATCTATCGTGTAATCTTGTATTTGACTTTTATAAATATATTCAAATTTTAGTCATTGAGGCTTTACCCGCAACCACCTGTATTGATTCGTCGCTCTATTGATAATGATGTTCTTGGAGAGTACCCTATAAAGAGGTAATTGCAACAAATATTTGATCTTGATTAACTGGTTAAGAAATAGTTTTGCCAAATTTTCTCACCTTGTTTAAAAGTCTTGTTCTTTTTTGTTTCATCTTCAAGTTTCTTTTAGCATTAACCCCTGTGAACTCAAAGCTCTTGGATATTGAGTGAATTACACTATCCCCGTATTGTGATTAAATCACTTTAACTTGAGAAAAACCTGGCCTCCCTTTTTACATAGCTGTTTTCTCTCAATATGAAATATATTGAGCATCTTCTTTTCTGATCCATGGTGATTATGTGTCATTATTTATTTGCAGAGGTGAAGATATATTTATATCTGTCTGGAACCTGCATCGCAGTCCAAAATTGTGGGATGATGCTGACAAGTTTGAGCCTGAAAGATGGCCATTAGATGGACCAAATCCTAACGAGACTAATCAAAGCTTCAAGTATATTACTTATAGTTTGTCTATTTGTTTTGTTTCTATCCTCTAATGTTGAGGAGCCAAGAGTTTATCTATTTTATAATGTATGCCGTCCTTTCTTGAAGATATCTTCCGTTTGGAGGAGGACCACGGAAATGTGTAGGTGATTTGTTTGCTACATACGAGGTAATGTTCATTGCTATGCTGTTAAATTTTTGGCTTGCCAATGGGGTAGTTGCAGGACATCATAATTACTAGTGGATTCAGTTTTCTTAAGATTGAGAAAATGCTATAGCGCATACTAATGAGTATCTATGTTTGTATGCTTCTATGATGCTTATTGTAAAGACTGTAGTAGCTCTTGCAATGCTTGTTAGACGGTTCAACTTTCAAATGGCAGTTGGAGCTCCACCTGTAAGTTTGATACTATGTTGTGATATTTTTTAGCATAACATTAAATTTCCAGAGTGTTGATTGCTTAAACATGTCTTAATAATAACAAACTGATACTGTGCAACCTATAGGTTGATATGACTACTGGAGCTACAATTCATACTACACAAGGCTTGAAGATGACTGTAACACACAGAATAAAACCTCCTATTGTACCATCATTACAGATGTCAACTTTGGAAGTGGATCCATCCGTAAGCCTTTCTGATCAGGATGAAATAAGTCAGAAAGGACAAGTTTATCAGGCTCAGGCTCAGCCCTAGCTGCTGCTGTGTAACAAATCATAAACCATGCAATACAAATATATAAAATGAAGGGAAAGGGGAAAAAGCGAGTAGAATTCTTTTCATTCTTTCAGCTTTGAGTGAATTATGTAGTAAGGTGAAGCTTTATGTCCTAAAAAAAATCAACAATCCCCCACCCTCGCTCCTTTAGCAAGGAAGAAAACAAAACTACAGATCTTTCATGCCTTTAAAATTCTTATTTGAAATGGTGTATTCTCATATTATAAATTTGTAAATACATTAAATTTAGACGTTAAGAGGCTGCACAAGTAAACTTGGTGCTGTGTCCACCAAGCACATGTAGAACAAAATTGGAAAGTACAGCTGAAAATGGTTGACACTTTTTTAATGCATTTGCTATTGATTGAAGTTCATTTAAAATTATAAAATTGAGTTCACTTATTTATCGTGTCTCATACTCAGTTTTGTAATTTTAAATAAATCTTAAATGATAATCACGTATTAAAAAGTTTCTGTTATCACTCTTAGTGTATGTACATTTCGTCAGTCTAATAGTTTAATAAACAAAGAAGGGAGTGAGGACAGTCACTAATTGAATATAATGCTTGGAGAACAGTACACAAAAATAAGCCAACAAATTTGCAACTTCCTTGTACTTAAATTTATAGAAAATGTTTGGTTATATTCTACAAAATACTGGTTCTTTACCAACCGTTTACTAAAAGTAAAACAAAAAATGTAAGGTAACATCTGATGACAGTGACTGGAGTATACTGGAATCCCTTCAGAAATGCTTATGCAGAAGCTCAACGAAATCACCGGGGACACTGGATGACAAACATGAAACATGACGAGTTTGCTTTATGTAGTTTTTTTTTTCTCTTTTTATGGTCGATGTGTATCCACAGAAGATGTAGAGCAACCTAAACATCCTCGTAAAGAGAAATATTTATGAATGGGCTTGGGTTTAGTTACGGCGGCTAAAGCCTTGGCCTCTTCACACCTCGATTTTTGGTCCGGATAATGTTTATAGAAAGCTTTAACCGCTCCTAGCACCCCATCTTCATTTTTCATGGAATTAGCAAGTTCAACAGCACGTCTTTTCACCTGTATATAAGGCCCAGAATGATATATATATATCATCAGCAAGAGTAAAAACGAAAAGCATTCCAGGATGGCAATGAATTCGCAGACCTATTACCAGAATAACAAATTACTAGCAACTAACGGAAACTCTCACTAGCGTCAACATAGTAGTGACGGGTTTGAATAACATGTAAAATGTCCCAAGTTTCTTCTAGTCACCATTATAAGAAAAGAAAAATGTTTAGATCACAGTTAAACACGGTCAAGCTTCCTTTACTTTCATATCAATATACTTGGTTCTCAAACTCTAAAAGACATGTAGATTTAGTTCATATCTAAGAATTCAAAATGTTTTTTTAAAGTTCACTAGTTATTTACAGTTCCAAGATAATAATTCATTAGTATAAAAGTATAAGGTCTTGACCACATTAGACAGGAAGTATAACAAACTAACACGCATTGTTCCCTAACTAAAGAAATAAATAGGGGAAACTACTGCTGTTAAGTCATTTCCAGTTGTTAGTATGATTCCATACTGTATTTCGGGAGGAATGGTAAATTGTTCTTTTTCTTTACATGATTTTGTCTCCCAGACATGTCACTTCCCATGACAAAATATATAAATCGGTGTGTCACCAAAGTAAATAAACGGGTGTTTGATAAGCATAAACTACTAACGATCGCCAAGCATAACATTAATGTCGAGCATATCCTTTTTCGTGGTAAATTATGGTAGAGATATTTATGGATTGTGAACAAGGGTAGACCGGAACACATTCTATATGCTTACATTCACAATACTAACTGCTCTGATCTGTGATCAAATTAAATATTACCTCTGGTTTCAGCATAAAGTGTATGGCATCGACCAGCCTATCTAATGTAAACTCATCCACCGGGATGGGTGCAGGACCTACTCCTCTGGCATGTACCCGCTCTCCCCAAAATGGCTGGTCCCCAAAGAATGGCACAATGGTTGTTGGGCACTGCAAGATGTAGAATGGAAAAGATCTTATTATTTTGAGATGAATATAATATTGGAATATTGAAATTGCAATAATTCACATTACACGATACATTACTTCAGCTCTAAGACCAGCGGCAGTTGTTCCGGCACCCCCGTGATGTATCTGAAATTTGCAACTTTCAAGCAGAACTCAAATTTAAATAAAAAAAATTAGTACTTCCACTAAGTGAAAATTTACCACAGCAGTGCATCGGGGAAACAGCCAATCATGCGGACAGTTGTCCAACAAATACACAGATTTCTTTCGTTCTGCCACTGAGAAACAGAAATTACTACATGCTTCACAATCAAATCAGCTTAAATAGTATACCAATGTCATGTTTTAACTAGAAATCATGACTCACAAGATCCAAGACCACCCCAGCCTCTGTTAATAACACCTCTCTGTCCTGTTTTTTCCAGAGCTTGGATTATAATTTTCGTCATTTTCTCTGGTTCTTGTAAAGGCTGTTTAAAAGACCAATAAATATTACATGACAATAGAGTTTGAAGGATTTAAAGACGGCATACATCTATTTTGACGATTAATACAATCAAAGGAAGAATTATAGCTCAATACATATAGTGGTTGTTTTTCCGCAGTTTCATATCTCTGCTTTGGCAAACAAATACATGAAATAGAAGAACCTTTATTTTTTACTTCTTCAGCAAGCGTTTTCTATATTTCTTTCTCAAAGTGTAAAGTCATTATTACTTCTTCAGCAAGCCTTTATTACAATTGTACGGAATTTCATTAAAGGCAGGTGTTTCTCATTAATTTTAGTTTTAAAACTAAAATGGCTTTATGGGCACTTCCAGGAACAACTCAGAAAAAATTATCTCTTAGCTTCCCCTTCTCACAGGCAACTTCCGAAGAAAAATTAGAGATCAAAAGGTGAGGCACCTTTAATATAACCCTTAGTATGGAACGAGTCACCAAGTCTGATATATATATATATATATATGCTACTAACAGATCTTACTTAGTGTAATCTGCAGATTCATCAGAGGTTAATTAGATGACCTAAACACAATATAGAAACTCACAAGGCTACCAAATCCAACATAAATAGGTTTTTCTCCCTCTTCAAGCCAATCTACTAGCGATTTTGGTGGGTCAAAAGTTGAAGCAAGGTCAAGGAAACAAAATCCAACAACGTCAATCTTAGGTCCCCAGTCTGCAAATCAGTAAAAGACAAATATATTATCATGACATCCTCCACAAAATAATGATTATGTGGTAGTATTTCTCACAACCCTATCTAATAATAAGATCAATGGAAAAGTGAGGACTAAAACTGAGAGCACATTATAAATACATATCTAACCTTTTGGTTTAGGGACTAAGTGAGGGCTCCACATATAACCATGGGGCACATCAAAAGGGTGAGTGTAAGATCCACTTAGATATGTAACAGGCTTTAGCTTCAACTTTTTCTTCCTAAACTCATTTATCAAGTCTCGTATTCCAAGCCAGATTAAAGCATCAACTATTTGATATGACAGCTGATAGTTGAAATACCAAACAAAACGATAAATTAGAATCCCACGGGATATTAATATATTGGCTAATTTTAGATTAACGATTAACAGACCAGAGTAGAACTCACTCTGTAGCCAATTGGTTGCTTAACACGGGAAAGAGGATGAGGGAATTCACTAGTAGGCCTGGAAATGTTGTAAAACATTGTCATGCATAATCAAAGTGCAAAAGTATCCTCTAATCTATCTGCTTACCTGTTCTTTATGACTACTGAGAACAATTTTAGATCCTAAGCAAATGCTTGATAAACACAGGACATAAATCACTATAGACATGTAAAATTAAATGTAGGATTAGCCTGTGTTATGAAACAAGACTTACGTCCATGGCATTGTGAAGAATACGTGAAGTGGAACTTTTAGATATTCAGCAACATGTGTATGCCCTGCATAAGTTCATATGCATTAAAATAACATACAATATTTTTTAGTAATACAAACGGGTGTGAATAATATCAGATAACTTTCTAGAGGCGTAGTAATTTATATTCCTCTGCCAGTGAACTTTATTTCTACTTGCTAATAGCCTATTAGTAGTTTCCATCTTTGGGACTTCGTAATAAAAAGGAGGAATTTCTTGTTTAGTCTACAATGTCTTTCATCATGCATGTCAGCTTGAGAAAACTAGGATTTCTTCCCTCTCTTTCTGTCATGAGTTACTTTTCACAGCCACTAAAAGTCTCCCATAAATTTTTTTTTCATTGCTTTGCTAAACTAATAGTATACCCTTTTCACTCTCATAATGAAATGAAGTAATCCTAAAAACCATATCTAATCTAGCTGTTTACCCATCAAATAAGAACGAATCAATAAAACATGAAAGCTGCTGCTGCCAATACAATCTTGCTGCCTATGCCTTTGACTTTGCCCACTTACTTAATCAGCATAAAGCTCTAGAAACCTTGCTCTTCGGGTCACAGAGACCCTGATGTGGAAAACCAACCCAACTGAAAAAAGCCACTGTACGAAGATTTCCTGAAAGGTCTTCATCAATATTAACAAGCTGCCAAACCATAATACAAAAATTTCCAGCAATTTTTCTGTAGATATTTTTTCCCTGGGTCTACCAAAATTAGAATTTGCAAGTCTAACTATCCTTATCAATTAACCAGTTACAGTAAATGTAACAGAATCCGTATGATTTAGACTTGCAGTTTATAGTTTCAGAACAAATGTTTCCCAGATTTCTCTCTAATCTTTTTCTCATTTTATCTTTCTCATTGCTTCTTCATTTCTGATGAGAAATATAATTTAAACTCTAGATTATGTTGTGTACTTTCAATCTATGAAGTGTTGAATTAGTAACCATTGATGGACTAACAGATAAAATACAGTCGCAGTTATAATGAACTTTGAGATTACTACGCTGTATTTACCAAGCACTTCAGAGGATAAAAATCCATAAATTTTATGAGACACAGTTTGTGGTTGAACTTTTCGTTACATTGCAATCTCAGATTACTTGATAAAATATTTGAATTACATTATCTTAAATGTTATTTATAATGATTATGAGGCATAGCACGATGAAATTGAAAGAAAACAAAATCTAAGTAAAATCTAACCGTATGCTGGAGGATTAGCAATTATCGCTTCTGCTTTAAAGGTTGCATTATAGTCTGGGTAACGACTGTGGCATGCAGGAAGCAAAGAATTAATAATTTCCTTGATTTGATTTCTTTGTATGTGTATTTCTGAAGGTCCTGATGGCAAAAAGCCTTTATTCTTGACCATATCTGAAGAAAACATGTATATATATAATTTGAAAGCATTAACAGAGAACACAATTCTTTAAACGGCTACAAATATTTATATTAGAAAACAGTGGTATAAACATTTCCTCACCACCATATGACCAAAAATGTATAATTGATTCTTGGGGAGTAAACCTCGTGATTTTATATCAACTTTTAGATTTACCTTCTATTCCAGCTATAGAGTTCTTCATTTTTTTTAGATAAAGTTTTTTTGTGTGTACATCTTTTTTTGACAAATAACTAAAGCATGCATAACATTTCTAGTTAAGGAGAGATGGGGGGCCATGAGATCCATTCCACTGGTAAAAATGGACTGCATTCGTCTGATTAATTATTTTTGTGTTGGATTATGAAAATAAATAGTAGAAAACTACAAATGATGGCTATGGACAAGTTAGTAGTAAAAGTTAGTATGAGCAGTCATTACCCGGTGATGTTATTACTCAATTTTAAATAATTAAAGCAAGTTGGATCTAGAAAGATATTGCTTTGGATTAAGACAAGAAACACTTACAACCGGCAAGAACTTTAGGATCTCCACCCAAAGGGTAAAACTCCAAGCCTGCATTCAAGACAAAATCCTCGAAGTTCTTATGAGTAGCTAGTCTAACTCTGTGGCCATCTTCCTGCAAAAGACACAGCCTCAACTAGGTTGCATTACATACGATTAAAATTGACTTAAGTAGTTAAGTTTAAAACAACTACGCTTTTAAAGGAGGAGAGAATGAAAATGCTTTAGAAAATAAATGTTGTACAGTAAGCTCACTTGCACAGAAAACCTGAACCACAAGTTACGAGGAGGATATCAGTTATGTTCCCAGACTTTTAAAAGCAATTAAGCAAGCCAGAGCAGGATCTTGGCATTAAAATTATTAAATTAGAAAACTTTTGCTTGGTGCAAAAATATTTCATAAGGGCATTAAAAGCTTAATTTCAGAACAAAGAACTAATAACCTATTTCCATTACTATTAAATGTTTCCAGAGTAAAATTAAACCTTTTGAACCCTAATTACTTCCATAAACACAACGTGACAATATACAACACATTCTTGCAGTACATGATCATTGTGTAAAACTAATACTTCAGAAACCAGGAAAGCAAAAAACCTGTAGACGCTTTCCCATGGCAATAAATGGCTGGACATCTCCCCGTGTGCCCACTATAAGCATTACAATTTGAAGTGGCTTGATAGATCGAATATCCTGATTGTGTATTGCATCCCAAAATTCATCATGAGGTTCATCACATTTAACATGATGCTCATGAATACTATTTCCTACTCCTGGAACTTTAATTTCAACTGTACCATCAGCCTTAAGTACGGAAGCCCGTTTTATCCATTGCACCTAGCACATTTGCAAACAGTTTTCAAGAATTAAAAAAACATGCAGAGAATTTAAAAGCGTTAAGTTAAATATTTTAAAGTCATAGAAATAATTTGAAGTATATGCGGGAACGTGACCAATACAGAATGATTGTTAGGATACTCGGCAACCTATAATGTATCTAGGTATATGCGGGGACATGCACAATTGAAATCCCATTCAACACAAAAACTACAGTTCAGCAAGCCACTATTATCCTCCGATTTAATTGATGCATAAATCTATCTTCCCAACAACAAAATTCCAACTGAGAAACAAGTCACAGCATAAAATTACACTTCAGATCCTGCCCTGCTATATAAGTCCACCTTCCAAACAGAAAAACATTGCTACATACGAGCCTTCAATTGCATAAAATTCGAAGAATAATTATAGAAGAACACAGTGATTCTGGTAAAACCTTTTCCCTGAAGGGTACTTTCGCGTCAAGGAACTTAGCAAGCGCCACTGCACTGCTTCCCTTGCTCCTAACTCTCGTAAGATCATTATCACCGTTCACCGGTGCAGGTGCAGGTGTAGGCGCAGGAGTGCTCCGTTCCGCATAGGATGGATTCCTGTGAACAGGCCCTGCGTAAGAACAATCCAAAGAAGAAGCAACACACGTAACCGCATGAATTGTCTGTGTTGTTGTTTTTCACTACCGTTATTCCACAATCCTAATTGCATGGAAGCGATCTCGTAAAATCGAGGGAAAGATGAAGGAGGAAAGGTTACCGGCGGAGGCGGGAGCGGAAGTGGCGTCAGTGTCCAAACAGACTGATATGTCACTGGAGGAAGAGGTCGCGCGGTGGAGAACGTTCTCCTTCGCCATCGGAATGGAGAGAGGAGAACGGAGAACTTCTAAGATCGAACGAAGGGTTCGTTACGCTTTATGGTTATGCGAAGGAAGGAATAAAGGTTCAGATTCTTACACTTTTCACTTTTTCCTTTTTTTCTTTTTATTAGTTTTTTGAATTTTCTGGGGAGGGGAAAGCATGACAAAATCCGAAGTGGCTGCCACGTGGAACGGTTAGAGAGCACGTCTTCTCGCATGCCGCGTTAACATAACTGACTGTCATGGAATGAGGGATGATTACACGGCGCGTCACCACCGCATAGTTGTCGTTGAGCATGCAGGGACGGTGTCCCCCAACATGTAGCATGTTTTTTTCGCTTTGGAAATAATAGCTATTTGAAAAATACATTCATTTGTCATAAGTTTTTAATAATAAAATATTAAATTAACATATAAATTAAATTATTAACTACAATATTATTAAAAGTTTGTGTCAAACTATCATTTCCTTTCTCTTTCGCATACTATTTATTAACCACTTTTTTCAACATTTTGAATTTGTTTTATTTTTTCAGATTAAAAATAAAACCCTTTTATGATTCAAACTTAAAAAATAACCACAACTTTAGCCTAAAAAAAAATTAGATTAGCTTCTTAAATTTTAATGAAACATCTAGTTTATCCCTGAATGTGTACTGATAAATGTTCGTGTTTATTGAAAAAAATTGTATGTTAAAAAGTATGATTATTTTAGTAAAATTATTTAATAAATGATATGTTCCATATTATTTTTAATATGTATTAAAAAAAACTGGTGTTTTATTCGCCTGAAAATATGAACAAATACAGAGAACTTTGAAGACTGTGACTCCTAACAAGCAAGCAGAAAATGACTTTTAACTTCAGAAACTAAAATTTAAATCACTTTAATTTTCAAATGATTTTTTTATCGCTTTGAAATTAAATGTTTTTTTATAATAGAAAATACACACTGAACTGCACTTACCCTAAATTTGAAATACTAAAAAAGTAATTAAATGTAATATATATATATATATATATATATATATATATATATATTAACATTTGTTGTTTTTTAAATTTATTGATTGAATAGTCCAAAATTGCTTCTACAAATTATTATGTAGTTCCGTCTGTCTGTCTCTCTCTATATATATATATATATTGTGACAAATAATTTTAGATTTTATATTATTAATCTTTGATAGCTAAAAGCTAATTGTTTTATTAAAGACATGTTTTACTTCTAAGTGGAATAATGGGAAAGTTTTTAGATTACAAAAATCTGAAAAAATTTAAACCTGCAGAAGAAACTGAGAATTTTCGTATTTAGCGGGAAACGTATGGAGGTGCAAAAAGAAATCGCCAAAATCAGGTTAAAAGATGGGCCTTTCTCGATTCTGGGCCTATGACATAACCTCATGGAAGCGACGTGTCATTGTTGGCGTGAAAACGCAAGCAAAAAGCAAAGGTTTTTGTCAGTGAGTGAGTGTGGCTCTGATGTTGCTTATTAATAATTAAAAATATTATTTATTAATGAAAAACGCGAACAAGGAAAATGAAAAACATACCCAAATACATTGTACAAGGACTGATCTTACCTCTTGTTAAGTTTCTCAAAGTACTATAGAGTAGAGACAGATGCTGACAACAGGAAGAGCTTTCAACTTTGGTGTATTATTGTTCCGCTCGCTTGTCTCTGCTTTCTCTTTTGTAAGCTGTTTCTGCTTTTTTATTTTTTGCACTTCTCCATAAGTTTTTTATCATTTCCTTTTCTTTTTTGCTTGACTGCTTGCCAAAGTTTGATTCTTTTTGCGTACTGCATGGCTTGAAATTTCACAAATTCATCTGGGTGCTGTGGACAATGGCTGAATAGTAAATGTAAACTGGTGATTCTTTAGTGTGAATGGACCCATTCTCTCGTTAGGTTTTGCTGCAAGGAATCTATTCCTTTTTTTGTGTCTAAAGAAAAAAGAATAGTGGGGTTTGTGTTTGAAGTATGTGAAGCTTCAGGTTATAAGCAAAGTTTCTTTCTTTTTGTTTTTATGGGGTGTTTAGATTTTATCTCGTTTTTTGCTTACAAACTGTGTTAAAAGGAGCGTTTTCATTCTTGTGCTCTGAAAATGATGGAGTGTGGATGGTGGTGACTTGTTGGAGGTCAGGTTAGTGAAGTGTTTTTCTGTGGGTTCACGTGGTTAATGAAGTCTTCAATGTCGATGGGAATAGGGAAGTATGGTCATCGAAGAAAAGTATTCTTGTTTAAAGATGCAACTATAGAAGTTTCTCCGTGTAGGGATTGCTTCTATGTGGAATTTTGTGTTAGATACCCTCATAAAGGACCTTATTGGTCTAGTTGTTGCTACCGTTGGCAAAGGTTCTTTCAGAATGTGGTTGTTCATGAAAAAAAAAAAAAAACTGAGAAAATCATGGGCTCTTGTGGTTTATTAATTAATATCGTGGCACATTAAGAGGTTCCTTGAATTTCTCTGTAGAAGAAAGATGAACATTTTTACTTCAGCTTATTGAGCTTGCCACTTTTTCTTTGCAACAAAGATGTCTCGTGCTTAGCTGGCTGGTCCTTTTGTATAAATTATAAAAAAGGACTAGTTTCCATTTTGCTTTTGCATATATATTATAAATGAAAATTTCATGGCACTAAAGCATTTTAAGATTTTCAATCATCACAATATTGTATTGATATTTCAAATGCCTGTGGTGAAACTTGCTTACCCTTCTTTCCTTCGTTCATATTAGTTTATGTGAATTGCAACTCCTTAAGGGCTTTTTAACTAATGTGCAGGTTAAAATCAGGAGTTAAACTGCTTTTGTAGATTGAAGATATATTCTATCCGAATCCAATATTTGAGAGATGTGTCCTGTGATTTGTAAGATGCATTCAATTTATCATTTATTTCTCTATATTCATAATATTCTACACATCAGTGGTGAATGCTTGACTCTTAAGTGGAATGGACTTTATTGGTGACCCGTGTTGTAATTTGTCTTCTTCAGTGCTCCAAGCCTAGCATCCAGTAGTTAAGGAGTTCTTATCCAAAGAAGTTTAAATGTTTGGGAACAAAGTCTTTCTAACTTATAAAAGAAGGCGTCAATCTCTAACTAGTAATTTTGTCCATGGGAATTGTAACCAACATTCAGTGTGTGAAGATGCCCATAATGACAACCAAACTGTGGAGAAAACATCAGAAAAGCATGAAGAAAAGACGGTGAGATTCTTAAAACCAACTTCTGGTTTTGTTGATATGTTCATGGAGCATCAAACTTCTATCTCTCTCTTTCTCTCTTTCTGCAATTCCATATCTAACAAGATTTAACAAGACTCTTGTAGGCCTTGGCATAAACTACTAGCCAGTGGCAAGGTTCATTAATGTATTTCTCTCAAATGAAAAGGGTTTTCATTGTTACAAAATACTGGATTTAAGTGCATTGGTGTATATTGGCAGTGAATTGCCAGAGAGAAAAACTATGACATTATATTGCTGGGGCTCGTGTACTTTATGTAAACTCTCATGTCTAACAGGTGAAGGTAGCATTGTGAGGGCCTTGATACGAAATATTTTTAAATGCATTGATGTATATTGGCAGGAGTATAAATCTACAGAAGTATAAAGAAATTGGAATGGATAATTTTTAATTTTATAGTAAGAAATTACCTTCTTGAGATTGTTTTTGTGATTAGAGAAAAGATGTAGTTAGAGGCATGTGAAAACAATAACTTCAGACCTTTTTGGATAAACTTCTCTATAAACACTTATGAAAGAAAAAGGTAAAATAAATTGAACTTCTCTCATAAGCTAAATCAACTTATGCGCATAATTTTTATTGAACCTCTTTTTGTTTAAGTTTTCCAATGTATAATTTGATGTTATCTTTTGGGAGAAGCTTAATTCATTACACCTCTTTCTATCTCCTTTCCTACTAGTGTTTATGGAAAATTTTATGTAAACAAGGCCCCTACTGATTTATTTTCCTTGTAGTGTTATTTTTAGTAATGTGAAAATCTTTGAGGTAGGTTTGAATACGCTCTTGTAAGATGCACCGCCAAGTGACAAAAATGTAATATATTTTCCCCATATTACTGTGAATTTGGAGGAAGAGAAGAAGAAAACAAGTTGGTGAGAGAATCAAGAAGGTAATGCTCTATAATAACAAAGGATTTTTGACTTTGACCTGGTAAAACAACCAATAGGTTAAGTCAAAATATATAGGATTAAATATGTTTTTGGTCTTATAACTTTTAGTGAAAATTGGAAATAGCCCCTTTTTAAAATTTTGGCCCAATTTAGTCCTTCAACTTTAGAAATGAGTGGATTTAGGCTTTTTAACTGAATTTTGTTGGGTTTATTTCATGTTTCAAACGCTTTTCATAATTTGATTTGTTTACACATTTCCGCTTCAATGTTACTTGAGAAACGCATTTGAAACATGAAATAAATTTAACAAAACTTGGTTAAAAAGATTAAATTCACGTAGTTCTAAAAATGGGGGACTAAATTGGTCCAAAGTTTTGAAGATGGACTAATTCTAACTTTCAAAAGTTAAGGGACGAAAAATATATTTAACCCAAATATATAAAAGCAAAAATTAGACTAAGTCAAAATTTATCTAAAAATCATCATTCACAATTTACTCAATGCTAGGCTTGTTCCCTATAGAACTTCTGAGATACTCATAGATATAACCAAATTTTGAAATACTCATAAATCTGTTTTATACTGTACAAAACATGAAAGCAAGAAGGCCTACTGCAATTTTGGGATGTGAGGGGAGGAATCCAGAAAGCTGATAACCGAGTAACAAATTTAAACAACCAATAGTTTACTATTTTGTTATATTTACAGGAGAGGAAGGTGATTTTTTGTTGAGAAAGTTCTTTCGATGCTGGGATATCATGGCTATTAAAGTTCAGTTTTTTCCTTTTTCCTTTTAAAGAACAATGGAAATATCAAGTAAAGAACACTCGTGTGGAGTTTCCCTGGTGATGTGATGCATTACAATAACATCCACCTTTCTTATAATTATCAATTACAGAGCAAGTAAATTAATTTTGGGAGCAAAACAGGCTATATACTGGAATAACACTTAACTGCCAATTACAT